ACAGCTCCAGGAAGCTGCAAAATGAGGGAGAGATCAGGATATGTGAGCTGGAGCCTTGCCCAAAGGCTTTGTTTTCTTGTAATGGTTCCCTTTAATATAAAGCTGTTTCTCGTGGCTCGGCAGCTGTGAGAAAGAAATGCTTTGGTAGCTCTGTGATATCTGACAGTTTGTATGGACAAAAGATGGAATAATCAACATTATTTCTTGGTATTAAAAATCTGATCTTGGCTGTTTGTGCCACCACATAATAACCTCAGTGCAGAGACCAGCCTGAAGTTTGTGGCACGGAGCTGCAGGGACCTCATCCATTCTCTGTGCAGAACACCTCCCAGTGCCAAAACCGTTGTGGACCCTGGAAGCCCAAACACCCTGGATACACAGCTCAAGCCTTTCTTGTCCCCATAGTGTCCGTGTGGCAGCATGGCCCTGTTTGGGCTGGATCTCACTGAGCGTAGGGTCTGACCCAGCCAGGAATCAGCTCCCTGCTGGCATACACGCCTGCTTTGTCCAGATGGCCATGTTGGATGGGCAAATGCCTTGCAGCCTGCTGGTGTCCCTGGCTTATTGTCACACAAGCGTTTTGTCCTTGCCCTTGTTCTGTATGTGAGGCAGGAGCCCATGGCACGGGTCTGTATCCTGTGAATGACAGCCACTCTGGTAATATCCCTGAAGGATGCTCCAGCCCTTCCTGCTGCCACCAGCACCTTCCCAATCCTCCTTGTCCCCTGCTCATGAGGACACAGCCACCAACGTCCCCACCCTGCCCCCAGGTTCCTTCCTACCTGCTATATCCCCACTGCTGCAGCAGGAGGGATGAGCCACATGCTGCAGGCATGGACGCAAGGGACTGCCAGGATAATTTCAAAACGAGGGCAGAGAGCTGATTATCATTTGGCTTAATTCTCTTTAGGTTGTTTTGTTTAATATTTTTCCTAAGGGCCCTCTTGATTAGCTCGGCAATGACAAGCTGCTAACTGGGGAGCTTGATGCCTCAAAGTGGGATATTGGAGGTGGGAGCAACGTGCCCTCAGGTACCTGGCAACTCACATGCAAAACTGGGATAAAACAGCTGTGCTGAGGTGCCTCTCTGACCTGGATCTGGAGCAGAGGAGCTGGAGGGGCACATAGGAAAGCCAGGCTGAGAGATAGGAGGGCAAGCCAAAAGAGCTTGTGTCCCTAGGAAGAGGACAGGGACACCCGTGTGTCCCACGTCATGCAGGAGAGGAGGGGAAACAGCTGCTTAACACCAGCTAGTTCTGCTTGCAGAATCGTGCGATCCCCCGTGTCACGGCAGCCATAGGCAGTGAGAAGAATTCTATTCTGACTTCAAAAATTGGGCTGAAGTTGTAAAGATGGATGGGTGGATGAGCAGATAGACAGACAAATAGACAGACTGACAGACAGACTGACAGACAGACAGATAGACAGATAGATAGATAGATAGATAGATAGATAGATAGATAGATAGATAGATAGGCAGAGTGACGGATGGATGGATGGATGGATGGATGGATGGATGGATGGATGGATGGATGGATGGATGGATGGATGGATGGATGGATGAATGGATGGGTGGAAGGAAGATAGATGGATAGATAGAAGGAAGGAAGGAGGATAGAAGGCATTGTCGGATGTTGGTAGGGATGTTGGTGGGGATGTTGGTGGGGATGTTGGTGGGGATGTTGGTAGGGATGTTGGTGGGGATGTTGGTAGGGATGTTGGTGGGGATGTTGGTGGGGATGTTGGTGGGGATGTTGGTAGGGATGTTGGTAGGGATGTTGGTGGGGATGTTGGTAGGGATGTTGGTAGGGATGTTGGTAGGGATGTTGGTGGGGATGTTGGTGGGGATGTTGGTGGGGATGTTGGTGGGGATGTTGGTGGGGATGTTGGTAGGGATGTTGGTGGGGATGTTGGTAGGGATGTTGGTGGGGATGTTGGTAGGGATGTTGGTAGGGATGTTGGTGGGGATGTTGGTGGGGATGTTGGTAGGGATGTTGGTGGGGATGTTGGTAGGGATGTTGGTGGGGATGTTGCTGGGGATGTTGGTGGGGATGTTGGTAGGGATGTTGGTGGGGATGTTGGTGGGGATGTTGGTGGGGATGTTGGTAGGGATGTTGGTGGGGATGTTGGTGGGGATGTTGGTGGGGATGTTGGTGGGGATGTTGGTGGGGATGTTGGTGGGGATGTTGGTGGGGATGTTGGTAGGGATGTTTGTGGGGATGTTGGTGGGGATGTTGGTGGGGCTGTTGGTGGGGATGTTGGTGGGGATGTTGGTGGGGATGTTGGTGGGGATGTTGGTGGGGATGTTGGTAGGGATGTTGGTGGGGATGTTGGTAGGGATGTTTGTGGGGATGTTGGTAGGGATGTTGGTGGGGATGTTGGTAGGGATGTTGGTGGGGATGTTGGTGGGGATGTTGGTGGGGATGTTGGTGGGGATGTTGGTGGGGATGTTGGTAGGGATGTTGGTGGGGATGTTGGTGGGGATGTTGGTAGGGATGTTTGTGGGGATGTTGGTAGGGATGTTGGTGGGGATGTTGGTGGGGCTGTTGGTGGGGATGTTGGTGGGGATGTTGGTGGGGATGTTGGTGGGGATGTTGGTAGAGATGTTGGTGGGGATGTTGGTAGGGATGTTGGTGGGGATGTTGGTGGGGCTGTTGGTGGGGATGTTGGTGGGGCTGTTGGTGGGGATGTTGGTGGGGATGTTGGTAGGGATGTTGGTGGGGATGTTGGTGGGGATGTTGGTGGGGATGTTGGTGGGGATGTTGGTGGGGATGTTGGTGGGGATGTTGGTAGGGATGTTGGTGGGGATGTTGGTAGGGATGTTGGTGGGGATGTTGGTGGGGATGTTGGTGGGGATGTTGGTGGGGATGTTGGTAGGGATGTTGGTGGGGATGTTGGTAGGGATGTTGGTAGGGATGTTGGTGGGGATGTTGGTGGGGATGTTGGTGGGGATGTTGGTGGGGATGTTGGTGGGGATGTTGCTGGGGATGTTGGTAGGGATGTTGGTAGGGATGTTGGTGGGAATGTTGGTAGGGATGTTGCTGGGGATGTTGGTGGGGATGTTGGTGGGGATGTTGGTGGGGATGTTGGTGGGGATGTTGGTAGGGATGTTGGTGGGGATGTTGGTGGGGATGTTGGTGGGGATGTTGGTGGGGATGTTGGTGGGGATGTTGGTGGGGATGTTGGTGGGGATGTTGGTGGGGATGTTGGTGGGGATGTTGGTGGGGATGTTGGTGGGGATGTTGGTGGGGATGTTGGTGGGGATGTTGGTAGGGATGTTTGTGGGGATGTTGGTAGGGATGTTGGTGGGGATGTTGGTGGGGCTGTTGGTGGGGATGTTGGTGGGGATGTTGGTGGGGATGTTGGTGGGGATGTTGGTGGGGATGTTGGTAGGGATGTTGGTAGGGATGTTGGTGGGGATGTTGGTGGGGATGTTGGTGGGGATGTTGGTGGGGATGTTGGTGGGGATGTTGGTAGGGATGTTGGTGGGGATGTTGGTGGGGATGTTGGTAGGGATGTTGGTAGGGATGTTGGTGGGGATGTTGGTGGGGATGTTGGTGGGGATGTTGGTGGGGATGTTGGTGGGATGTTGGTGGGGATGTTGGTGGGATGTTGGTGGGGATGTTGGTGGGGATGTTGGTGGGGATGTTGTTGGGGATGTTGGTAGGGATGTTGGTGGGGCTGTTGGTGGGGATGTTGGTGGCTGTTGGTGGGGATGTTGGTGGGGATGTTGGTAGAGATGTTGGTGGGGATGTTGGTAGGGATGTTGGTAGGATGTTGGTGGGGATGTTGGTAGGGATGTTGGTGGGATGTTGGTGGGGATGTTGTTGTTGGGGATGTTGGTAGAGATGTTGGTGGGGATGTTGGTGGGGATGTTGGTGGGGATGTTGGTGGGGATGTTGGTGGGGATGTTGGTAGGGATGTTGGTGGGGATGTTGGTGGGGATGTTGGTGGGGATGTTGGTGGGGATGTTGGTAGGGATGTTGGTGGGGATGTTGGTGGGGATGTTGGTAGGGATGTTGGTAGAGATGTTGGTGGGGATGTTGGTAGGGATGTTGGTAGGGATGTTGGTGGGGATGTTGGTGGGGATGTTGGTGGGGATGTTGGTGGGGATGCCTCACTCCTTCCCCCCCTCCATCCCCGTGCCATGCAGCCGCATTCCTGCAGGGGCGCCCGTGTGTCAGTCCGTTGGAGAGGGGATGCTTTGCCCGTATCCTGCGTGCTGCTAAGGGGGGGCCCAGAGCCACAGGCGGTGGTGGTGGGGTCGGTATCTCCTCGGCTGCCCTCCCCCCTGATGTGCCCTCAGCACATCTGACAGCGGCTGCTTGATTTTGCCCTGCGGCTGCGAGATGGGTTGCAGCCCTTCTCATTCATTCCGGGCGGGGGAGGCCTAGGGGAGGGGGGCTGTCCCAAAAAGCACCACCACGTATTCAGAAGAAACCATTTTTATTATTTTTTTTTTTTCCCAAAGAAAAAAAAAAAAAAAAAAAAAAAAAGCAATATAAATATTAGAGTATAAAACTTGCGTGTAACACATCGACGTCGGTCTATACGGGTATAAGAAGGATATAAGCATATATATAATATATAAGTATAATTCAATATTAGACACATGGAGAGGGCAAAACGTGTTTCATCTCACGTACACTCGGAGCACAGACCACATGGAGAGAAGATACAGAGAAAGTGAAAATACTGCTGTTCCACAAGTTAGTTACTGAGATAAAATAACACGCCACTAAATACACAACACTCGCTACGCTACCTCAGATTGCAGGTTAAAAAGAAATATAAAGACTACGATTCACCTACGGCGTTGCTGGGGGGCAGGAGGGGGGGGGGGCTGGCAGCTACATGGGGCTGTGGAGCAGCTGTGGGGTTGGGATGTGGTGAGCGTGGTGTCGCCCCCCCGGGGTGTGGGAGGGGGATGTGTGTGCGTGTAGGGGGTGAGTTAAGTGTTAGTGATCAAAAAAGAGCAAAAAATCCTATGTGAAATCGAGTGGCCCTTATGGGGGGGTTTGGGGGGGACCAACCTCTCCCCACCCGCACCCACTTTGGGTGCCAAATTCCCTCTCTGCTTTTCTGGGGGGAGGGAGAGGCACGGATGCTGTGATATGGGGAGCTTGAGGTGTCCCCAGCAGCACCACCAAGGCCACCAGGACACTCCTCTGGGCTGAGCCCGCTTGGAAGGGGCACAGCATGGAGAAATCCAACTGGTCGTCCTCCTGTTCCCTCTGGGAGGTGGAAACCCCAAAGCCAGCACCCCCCAATGTTTCATCCCAGCTGATCCCTGGGCTCATGCCATTGCAGGGACACCCAGCCCATAAATCCCCATCCCAAACCTGCTCCTCATGTACCACCAAACCCACTGCCATTTCCTCGGTACCCAACAACCCCCCGCCCTCTCCCCCCCACTCCCCACATACAAAGCACCTTCACCCCATGCTGCATGGCCATGCGAGGACATCCTGGAGGCTGGGGAGGCGTGTTCCAAAAGTGCAGCTGTGACGCAGGTGACACCCATGCGGGGTCACGGAGAGGCGCAGAGCAGCCCCTCCCAGCCCCATAGCTTTAATTCCAAAAGAACACTGACTGTACATATAAATATTTACTGCAACGCAGGGACGAGATGTGTCTGCTCAGAGCCCCCCCAGGGCCACGCTGAACCCCTGCTCAGACACCAGGAGCTCTCAGGCCATGGCTGGTTGTACTTGAGGGGGAAAAAAAAAACAACAGAACAAAACAATAACTGTTCAGGATGCAGCTCTGCATTGTTCCCTTCGACTCATGCAATACAAACACTTTTTTTTTTTCTTTTCTTTTCTTTTTCGGATAACAGCTGAACAGGAACCGAAGCACTCCCTACCCACAGATCCACCGCTAACAAATAACCCAGGGTGAGTTTCACGATGTCAAAGAGCAGAAAATGTGGAGCACGGGGCTTTATGCTGGGAAATTCCTTTTTCTTTCAAAAAAAAAAAAAAGAAGAAGAAGATCAAAGCTCTATAAATTAACAGATGGGTGTTACAGTTATTTACACTGGACGAAGCTGAGCGAGAGCCTCGTGCCTTTCTCAGACCATCTGGGAGCAAATCGAAGCCAAGGATTTGGCCGAAGCCTTTCGACCTCGTGTATCCTAACACCCGAGGGGTCGTATAAAACGTTAGCTGTATTCACAGGGCACTTGTTTGTGTTAGCTTTAGCTTTCCAGATTGCTTTTCATCATGAGACCTAACAGCAGGCAGCCTGCTCCTAGCTCTGACGATGACAAATACATTCGCAGCGCTTCCTATAACTTTTGCGTCGCCGAGAAATCAAAAATAAAAACCAAATCCACATTCGTCCTCCTGTGGTGTTGGGGAGTGCTGGCACGCGCTGCCCGGCCGCTCTGACGTCTCCTTTCTACTTCTTCTCCTTCTTGCCAGATTTCTTCTTGTTGCCACCCGAGGGTTTGGCGTCGCGTTTGCCGGCGGCGTTGCTCAGCGTGGCGGTGCTGCCCGGGATGTAGACGTTCTGCCGGTAATCAGGGACGTGCTGCAGGGTGAACTGGGGGCCGTAGCGGGCGCTCAGCCCCATGGTGCCTGTGCCCCCACCCAGGGTTGCGTTGACATCAGCGGCTTCTGCAGGGATGGAGGAGAGGAGCGGGGTTAGCACTGGCTCTGAGTCTTCGCTCCTGTCGCATCGGGGAGATGCCCGCGAGCATCCTTCTCTCCCCTCCAGAGGGAAGGCTAGGATGAACCAGGACTTGGGATGTGGGAATGGGATGGGAGGTGGACATGGGATGGGAATTGGAATAGGGACAAGGGTGGGAGATGGGGATGGGAGGTGGGAGGTAGGGATGGAGTTTGGAGCGGGGATAGGAATGGGAGGTGGGGATGCAGTTAGGGATGGGGTGAGAGGTGGAGATAGGATGGGGATGGGAATGGGGACAGGGATGGGATTGAGGATGGGGATTAGGTTGAGGATGGTAGGTGGGAATGATGTTGGGGATTAGGTTGAGGATGGGAGGTGGGAATGGGGTTGGGGATGGGATTGGGGATGGGAGGTGGGAATGGGGTTAAGAATGGGGATGGGAGGTGGAGGATGGAGTTAGGGACAGGGTAGGAGGTGGAGATGGGATGGGGATGGGAATAGGAACAGGGATGGGAGGTGAGGATGGGGTTGAGGATGGGGATGGGAGGTGGGGATGGTGATGTGGTTGGGAACAAGTGCGGGAGGTGGGGATGGAAACAGGAGGTGGGGATGGCATTGAGGATGGAAGGTAGGGATGGGGTTTGGGATGGGAGGTGGGAGGTGGGGACAGGGATGGGAGTTGGGGGATGGAGGTAGGGACAGGGGTGGGAGGTGAAGATGGGATGGGAATAGGGAAAGGGATGGGAGGTGGGGACAGGGATGGAAGGTGGAGATGGGAGGGGGATGGGGACAAGAGTGGGAGGTGGGGATGGGATGGGGGTAGGAATGGAGACAGGGATGGGAGGTGGAGATGGAGTTTGAAGTGGGGATAGGTATGGGAGGTGCGGATGGAGTCAGGGACAGGAGTGGGAGGTGGAGATGGGATGAGGACAGGAGTGGAAGGTGGGGATAGAGATGAGAATGGAGAAAACAATGGGAAATGGGGATGGAATTGGGGATGGGAATGGGAGCTGGGGATGGGATGGAGTTGGCAATGGGGACAGGGATGGGAGTTGGGGATGGGGGTAGGAATGAGAGGTGGGGATGGAGTTGGGGATGGGAGGTGGGGATGAAGATGGGGATGGGATAGGGAACTGTCTGTTCTGCCTTGCTCTCTGGAGCACAAAGACATCCCTTCCCCAGCAGCCCACTGTAAACACTGCACAGCGCTGACCATTAGCAATGCATTAAGGTAAAGCCAATATCAGTGTTTTTCCCTTCCCCCTGCATCCAAAGCCCTGACCCCAGCATTTCCCCAGCCAGGTTTATTCCTGGTGCAGACAAATCAATAAAGAAAATCCTCCCTTACAGCGCTGCAGGCCGGCTCTGGGATACAAGCACAAAGCAGTCAGTACAGAGGGGGATGGGATGGGAATTCATTGCTGCCGAGCTGCAGAGAGCAGGCGCAGAGCAGGGAAAGGAGCGGGGCCCCCCCGGGATGCTGGAGGCAGAGAGCAGATGGAAATGGGGGGATGTGAGAGGGAGGATGTGAGCAGGGAGGGAAGACAGAGCGTGAGCAGCTCTCCTGTAGCAGCCCTGCACGATGAGCTCCGACACAGAACAACCCCAATGGGAAATGGCTTTGCTCAAACTCTCTGCATGCACAGGGGCTGAGCTCAGCTCTCTCGTGCGAGGGGCTTCAGCTGCCTCACAGAGATGCTCTCCTGGGAGGCTGCAGAACACCACGGTGCCTGAAGGGCCCCAGGCACAGCTCATTCGCCCTCCGTTCACAGACTGAAGGAATAAAGGCAAACCCTGAGCAAAAACCTCAGGCTGGTGCTCCTGCATCCTCTCCCCAGGTCAGCCCCATGCATTGCTCCTTGCATACAAAGGTCACTGAAATACAGTGTTTGTTGTGTCCCCTTGAAGAGGTTGGAAGTGTTAAGCAATCAAAGCTTGAGAAGTTACAGCTGCTGGGAGAGGAGGAGGAAAAAAACACAGCCAGCTTGGAAACAACAGGCTGGGGGGGGGAAATGCAGTCAGGCAAAGCTGCAGTTAGGGACCCATGGTGGTGGCAGGGCAGGGCATCATTACTGTTCTCTGTTCTGCTGTGCTTCAGCCTTGGGTGCATCCCTCAGTGCTCAGGGAGCATCCCTGCTGCTCAGGGGCTTTGTGCTGGAGGAGCCCCCAGCACTGCTCCAGGATCTCATTGGCAGTCCCAGCACAGCCTTCCAGGAGTGCAGTTCCCAGCGTGCTGGTTGGTCAGGGTGAGAGCAAAGGGCTGTTCCTAGGTAACATTGGCATTAGGGATGAAAAGGAGAGAGAACAGGGACAATGGAGGTTTATAAATGGGCACCCAGAGGCTCTTGCCAAGCAGGGCACTCCAGCTCTCCTTGCTGTAAAGGTTGTGCTCAGCCTCTGCCAGCAGCCAGCCACTGCCCAAAAAAGTCCCCAGGCCCTTGAAGCCACACAGTGAGGAGGAAAATGAGAGTTGGGCAAAAATAACCCCTTCCTGGCTCCAACTTTCCCCATACGCAGAGGGGACAGGAGGTCGGGGAGCACTTGCTGCTGCAGCTGCTGCCGGTGCTTTTGGGACACCCAATATAGCAGGGCTGACGGCCACTCCCTGTCTGCAGGCTCCCCTGCTGCCTCACAGCACCCCTACACATTCCTGCTGAAATCCAAAGTATTTTGAGGACAGAGTGCCTCCCATGCTGCCCCTCAGTATCTGGTTTCCTGGAGCATCCCCCGCTCCTCAGTCTGTCCCAGCAGCTGCCTCTACAAACCATTGCATTTCCACATTTCCCAGGCTCCCTGTTCCAAGGGCAAAGAAGCTATGGGATTTGAAATGAAGGACAACCCATATGTGAAGAGTAAGGATGCAGGCAGGGCACCATCAGCCCCTTCCAGAGCCTGGGAGCAGAGAGCATCAGAAGGGCTCAGCCTCCCAGGGGTGATAAGCACGGAACAACTCACTGAGTTAGGGGCATCCTCCCACTCCTTGCTCAATCAGATGACATTAAGGATCGTGTAAACGACCACAAAACATTATCCAAGGGTTGGCAGCACAAGGTTGAGTGGGCAATTAGCACTGCTCCTCATCAAAGCCTGCACCAATCAGCACTATTAGTTTAACATGGAGAGCAGCAGAGCAGGGAGAAGGGGAGACAGATGGAAACGGAGCTCTGATGGGAAAGAAAAAGCATCAGGGGGCTCCTGGTGCAGTGGAGATGGAGAGAAGGAGTGCAGGCTGAATCCCCAGCACCAGTGCCCCAGTCCCCATCCATGGCTGCCGTGGACAAGGGAATGATGGGCTGCACCAAGCTGCCTCTCATTGCACTGCTGCAGGAAAGCCATCCCCAGCCCTCTACTAGAGAAGTAATGCAGACCTCCAGAGGGCTTGGGATCCCAGAAGTGCAGGTTGGGGGAGATGTATGGAAACAGGGCCAGGAGCTAAGTGGAGAAACCAATGTCTGACCTGGAAAGGACCTGCCCATCTCCAGTCCAGGCAGCAGCCAGGAAATCAGCCTTATTTGTGAGCAAGGAAACCGGATCTGGAGGCCCTGCAGGCTATTTTTTTTTTTTTTTTTTTACAGAGCAGAGCCCCATTTTTGCATTGTTTCCTTCCCTGGTGTGTAAACAGCCCCATTGCCCAATGCCTCATCCCCACAGCTGTGGCTCAGCGCTGCCGATGTCTGCCGAGGGCTGCAGCCCTTTCCAAGAAAGCAACACCACAGCACATCCCTTCCCCCTCCCCCAGATTCCTTCTCTCCCACAAGCTCAAAGGAAACATGCAAAGCATTTTACCCAGCGTTTTACGGCTGTGCTGCTGCTCCTATTTTTAAACCGAGGGGGAAAAGGCTCGGAGGTATTTATAAATAAAAGCTTTAGAAAAACCAGGCTGGTTATCCAGAGCGCTGCGTGCAGTGGTAATTGTGCTGCTCTCACACAAAGCCATGGAACACCCCTCCCTGCCTGCTGCTTTCACACAAACGCAGCAGAGCAAACCAAGGACACATGAGAATGGCCCCAAACAAAGGCCAGCCACTGTGACCCCAAACCCAGTGCTCTCAGACCGCCCAGGGGCACACATATCTCTGGGCATGAGATTTGTTGGGTTCTCTCTCTTAAGACCTGCAGGACTGCTCTAAGAGCATCCCTATTTCCACGGCACTGTGGGGACACAAGGAAGCTTTTCTCTACAGCAGCCTCAAGCTTTGAGGATCAGCTTCTGGCTGCCCACAGACACAGGACCTTGCAGTAAGTGGGACTGCAGCAGGCATTCACTACACTCCTGGTATTGCCTGTCCCCGGGCCACAAGCAGATCTTCCAAGCCTTCTACCTCCACACCTTACAGCAAGTCAGGGCACAGCAGATATTTCATTTACTGCAGCCTTCTGAAATCACACGGCTTGTAATACATCAGCTTTTTCATTCAGCACAGCTTCACCACCAGGCAGATAACGCTGTGCAGTACGCAGATAATACGGTTTGGATGAAAGAGATAACCCTGTCTACACTTGGATTGATGCTGATGGATCTCTGGCATCTCCTCTTCCTGAATCCTGCCTGTCCTGGGCCCCTCACCATATTGAGGTCATGGAGCGTATCTGGAGAAGGGCAGCAAAGATGCAAAGGGTCTGGAGCACAAATCTTATGGGGAGCAGCTGAGGGAACTGGGATGGTTTGGTCTGGAGAAGAGGAGGCTCAGGGGAGACCTCATCACTCTCTACCTTCTCCCAGGTCACAGTGACAGGACAAGAGGTGATGGCATTAAGTTGTACCAGCAGAGGTTCAGGAGGTGTTCAAGAAAAGGGCAGATGTGGCACTGAGGGATGTGGTTAGTGGGGATGGGCTGATTCTATTCTATCTCCCCTCCCCTTCTCCCTCCCCTGAAGGGTAACTTCATCAGCATCTGCTCAAGAAGTCCTTCTGAAGCCTCTCCAGTGTACCACACACACCAGTACCACACGAGCATCTTATCTATGGCACACAGCTGAGACGGCTACGGTTTCCCCATGCTGTAGTTTCCCTGCATGCAGTAGAGACTGACCATTTGCCGAGGCCAGGATCATGGCTTGAAGCATCTCCGTGTCAAACTGGTTGTTGGGCCAGGCTCCACCTTCCTCTCCATTCTGGGAGCTGTGGGAATAGAAAACAAAAGGAAAGAAATGGCGTGTTACTCCAGCTGGGAGAAGAGGGGTGGGCTGGGGAAGGGATCTGCTGGAGAAGGCAGTGCTGCAGGAAAACCAAGCAGCTTACAGCTGGATGTGGGCAACGTTGGCAGAGAGGAGGGTGAGGGCTTCAAATCCCTCTGTAAAGCAACACTCTGGAGTGTAAATATTGTCAGAAGTCTCCATCCCTCTCCAAGGCTTTTGAAGAGCAACCACCAAAGTACTTGGGGCTGAGTGGTACTTCTAGGAAGACCTTCCTAATGCCTGCTGGTTGAACCAGCTGGCACCTAACGACCTCAAATCCCTTTAGGTGCCTTCCCACAGCTGAATACCACAAACACACATTAAAAAAAACAACAAGAAACAACCCAGTTCTAGACCTGCAGAGATGCGCACGCCCTTGTATGACCAGGTTCCTTCTGAAAGCCACATGGAGTTGTTGCCCTTCCAGGTTATTTCAGGCTACAACTCCAGTTATTTCAGGCTACAATTCCACTCTGCAGCTTCATTCATGGGAATGAAGGTGAGAAAATCCCCTGGAGCCACAGGATTTGGGATCAGCAGGGAGGCAGCTGCCCGTCACCGAAATCCAGCTCTGAAGGGAGTCCAAGAGCAGCCACCAAGAGCAGCGAGCGGAGTTGGGTGACCACATGGGGCAGCTGCTGGGGGCTGAGCAAGGCAGCTCTGCCTGGGAAAGCTGTGGGGATGCCACCAGGCTTCCCTTCAGGAGGTTTTGCAGAGCAAAGTTACAATCAGCGCTCTGTGCGCCTTCAAACAAGCTCTGCATTGATGTCTGCCAGGTGCCTGGCAGCTGTGTTCAACCACCCCTCACTCGTGGCCACAGTTTCCCATCAGAGAAGCCAGGGATGTGTTCCCACAGCCCTCCTTCCAGCAGGGAGACCTGAAAGTCCCACCAGCTGCATGATCACAGCACACATCTACCATGGCTGGGTCCCTGCCCCAGTTACATCATCGCCTTGCAAGTAGGAAAGTCCTGAATGCAAGGCTCTCCCTTTCCTCCCTGTGCAAGTGTCCTATACAGAGAAATTTTAAACATGCTGATGCTTGTATGAGTGTGCTGAGAACCATGATCAGACCCCACGCAACCCTACTCCATCACGGAGCAACACATCGTGCAGTAATGCCTTTAAGTCGTGCCAGGGGAGGTTCAGGTTGGATATTAGGAAAAGCTTTTTCTCAGGAATAGTGGCAATGCACCCAAATGGGCTGCCTGGGGGAGGGGGGTTGGAGTCACCATCCCCAGGGGTAAACGTGGCACTGAGGGACGTGGGCAGAGGGCACAGTGGGGACAGGCAAGGGCTGCAGCCTCACATCACCACTCTCACTCCCCTGCTTTATCTGTGCAGGTGACACTCCATCCCTGACACAGCAGAGGCTGCCCGCTGAGGCTCCGAATTGCCTGCCATCTGCTGCAACCCGGGGCATCCCATAACCTATTTATACCTTGCCACACGTGCGCTGGCATGGCTTCAGGACTTCAAGGCCTGCCTGCCTCAATGGGTGGCAATGCTCGAGGAGCAAGCACTGCTCCACGTCAGGGCTGGGAATAGAGATCCTATAAAGGACTTAGCAACCTAAACCCCATTGCAAACCACAACCCACGCAGCCACCACTTAACCCCAGCAGCTCCTGCTCTCCTGCTGGGCTCAGGGCTCCACATGGGGTCCTACTGGTGCCAAATTGGGGAGAACCATCTCTTCTTCTGACCTGCAGGCTACAGCCCAGCCAGAACAATGTGGTCTGCAGATCCTCCTGTTCTACCCCATGCAGAGCCAGGTCCTTCCTGCAAGCTTACAGCACCCAGCACTCTCCAGTCCTGCACAAAGCAGCATGTTGCTCCCCATGATGTCACACTGGAGAGCTATTTTAGAAATGCCATGGTTGCAGAAGCCCTGATTGAGCTCATTTCTGTATGCAGGAAATTCAAGTGCCTGAATTACTTGCGAGCGCAATCATCCGGAATTCAGAGGCAGGAGAAACATGAATGCAGTAATCTAAAAGCATCCTAAAATAACTTCACATAGTGAAAAGAAGGAAAAAAAAAAGAGGCACACAGCTGATGGGCAAAGCTGGCTGCCTGCCACAGCTATAGGACAGGGCTGTGAATGGCTGAGGCTGCACTGCCCGGAACAGGAGGTGGTTCCTATGGAAATGGGCTTCAAGGACTGGCAGCTCTTAATACAAATGGCATTTTCTCAATAGGCTTTTTATAAAAACCCATCCTGCAGAGGACAGAGTTGTTTTTTTGTTGTTTTTCTTTTTTCCTTTTTTTTTTTTTTTTCCCTCCTGTTTCATTCCATTCCACGCTTCAAAAGCTCAGAAAACATCTGGATTTAGGTTTGGGGAATAATCTCAGCACTAAGGTTGGAGGGAAGGAAGCAAACCTGTGTTTGAGACAAAGAGGAACCAGACCCAATGATGCTGCATCCAAGGGATCAACACGGGGCACCACCAAACCCAGCCAAAAGCTCACAATCCCAAAATGGGAGGCATGTCCTGCAGCCCCTGGTGAGGCTCTGCAATGCCTCATTGCTCAGCAGCCCGAAGGCATCAGCCCACGCAGCAGGGCGGGCCTTGCACCACTGACCTGCTATTTTCTGCCACCCCAGCCAACGCATCGTCCCTATTTCCACTTCCAGTACAGAAATATTCATTTCCTTGCAGGGTTTCTATGGAGACCGTTACTATGGCATCCAAATGCCTCACAAACATCTCTTTTTTTTTTTTCAGCCCGAGATTAACTTGTTTTCCACTTGTTTTCCTCATCCTGCAGCTGGAAGTCTGATTTGTGCCACGCTTGTGCTGTGGGTGCCCAGGAGGACTCTGAGGATGTGGCCCTATGGCCCCAGGAGATGCCCAGCAGGGTGGTCGCCCGCTCAGCCTCCTCTCTTTATTGGGCTTTTCCAGTCCTTCCAGCAGCACTGCAGCTTCCACCCACCGCTCCAAATCCCACCAGGCTCTGTGCATGGGGGGCACACAGCTGGGGTCCACCTCACCCTGGACCCTTTCCCTTCCTTCCCATTTATCCCCAGCCTCCCATTGCCTCCTTGCCCGCTGGCAGGGGCAGCATCAGCCATAGTATTCCCCTCCCAACCTTGAGGGCCAGGCATTTTCTCCAATCCCTTTCCCCCAGCCCCATTCCCCAGCAGAACTGATGCTCTCAAGCTGACCCCTTCACCCTCCTCCCCCTCCTTGCATCGCTGTTTTTCCACCTTCAGCTTCCTTCAGCCTCCTCCCACACCCAGCCCCAGCCAGAGGCAGCAGCAGCAGCAATAAAACCTCAGCCCCATGTGGTTTTGTGCTGGCAAAGTGACAAGGAGTGGGGAAAGTGACAGCCATCACACAGCCTCTTAAGGTGTGCTGGGGACACAGCCACGGCAGCTCAGCCATGCCCTGGGGGCAGCATCCCTCACCCTATAGCCCCTCCCCCAATCAATCCCATCACCCAAATCCGAACCTCCCCCCAAAAATCAGTGCTAGATCAAAAGTCGCTGTGATTTCCTTCCTTCTCCCTTAACAGAGGATGTTGCCCGCCCTTCCCCCACTCTCTGTGCATTCCCTGACTCTTCTGTAATGCAATTATAGGCGCTGGGGAGGGCTTGGACAAGGCACAGATTTAAGATCCTGACTTCACAACAGACCGAACAGTTTTAGCAGGCAAAGCAGGAGATCTGCAGCCTCCCAAAGCAATGGGGATGCTCCTGAGCTGCTGAGATACTGCTCTTCATGGAAGGGGGGGGGAAGGGGAGTCAGAACAAAGGGCCCCAAAGTCTCTGCCACCCCCCCACTCCACAAACACACCTGGAAAGCTATTTTGAGATGTTCTTTGGAAATGTAACTGCACCTTTGTGTCAATCCCTGCGCCTCTGTAGCCGAGCATGGTGTGTGCTCAGCTGCACAGGAAACAGATGGAGAGAGGAAAAAAATCGACTAATACGTGTCACACCTGCTGGACTCCCCAAAATAATGTTTCTATACATAATGCCACGAGAATGCAACTCCTGATATGCTGCAGGCTGTCCAGAGTGAAAAACATATCCCCTGGTTGGGCTGGTTCCCTTCACCATGCTCCACACCTTCTGCCCCCCCCCGGCAGGATCCAAGTGGCTCAAGGCATCATAGAACTATAGAATCATAAAATGGCCTGGGTTGAAAAAGACCACAATAACCATATAGTTTCCAACTCCCCTGCTGTGTGCACCAACCAGCAGCCCAGGCTGCCCAGAGCCACATCCAGCTTGGCTTTGAATGCCTCCAGGAATGAGGCATCCACAGCCTCCTTGGGCAACCTGTCCCCAGGGAAATTCTTTACAGAGAGAGTGGTGAGGTGCTGGAACAGCTGCCCAGAGAGGCTGTGGATGCCCCCGTCCCTGGAGGTGTTCAAGGCCAGATCGGATGGGGCCCTGGGCAGCCTGGTCTAGTATTAAATGGGGAGGTTGGTGGCCCTGCATGTGGCAGGGGGGTTGGAGATTCATGATCTTTGAGATCACTTCCAACCCAGGCCATTCTATGATTCTGTGTGTTCCAATAAGCATCCAGGAGCACCAACCCAGCACCAGGGGTCTCTCCTTCCTATCCCCACCTCAGCACCCAACAGCACAGGGCACGGCAGCACCCACTCAGAGCACAGCTCCAAGCAGGCTCATAGTGCTCCAAAGCAACATTTTCACTGTCACATTCAATAGGGAATCACAGTCCCACCTAAAGCTGCGAGCCTTTGCATGGTCTGCAGTCCATCCTGCACCAAGACCTGCCTTGCAAACGCAACCACCCAGCCCTTCCTGGGTTTGTTTGGCAAGATGTTTAACACACAAAACACACCTAGGCTGGAGGTGCAAATTTTACACTGACAACCTCCAATACTCCACAAAGTGCAGCCCAGGACGTGGCACTAGCAGAGCTCAGCAGCTTGGAGCAGCCCCATGGGCTGTAGGAACCCTCATTCCAACCACCCATCAGGAGCCCCTGACTGCAGGCAGCCCTCAGCAGCACCCACAGTCTCTGCGAGCATCGGAGACCCAAAGCTCCTTGAGAGTTTAAGGAATATTCTCAGGAAGCTCTTTTCCATCACGCAGCCCAGGCAGGCTGCCTTTATTCCTGAAAGCTCAATTCTTGGGGGAAAAAAAAGAAACCAAGAATGAAGAAACCCTCCTGTCCCTCACAGCTCTCCCATTGGTGCTGCTGCTGCAGCATTTCCACAGCCAGACAGCACGCCCTGCTTGTTCCTCCCTCCCTGCATGGATGGGGGTCAGATGAGGCAGCTGTGATGCTGTTTAATGGGTGAGTGAAGCAAACATCTCCACAGACTACATCCAGCACTGGAAACCAGTGGCACAGAGAAATTCAGGATCAGAGCTCTCTATCGTTTCAGAATTCACTCCTCCCTGTCCTGGAATCAGCTGGGGGTCCCAGTGCTATCCCCCGTGAGCCCCCCCCCACCTTCCTGGCTTAGCCCACCTGGCCTATCCCCATCCTCCCACGATGGGAGGATCACCATGATGGAAGCACTGACAAGCTCTTCCCAGCTGGGACATCTCCTCCCGCTCACTCCTATGAGCAACCCAGGGCCTTCCCCTCCTGTCCTATTTCCCCCCCCCTGCTTTCTAGGTGGGAAATCCTCACCCAGTGCTTTGCTGAATCCACTGCTGCATGCAGATCCCACCAAGGAATTGCTTGCCCTGCCGTGCTGCCATGGCCACACCACTCAGACTGCTCATCATCGTAATCCCCCCGCAGCTGCTGATCTGATTTGTTTGAGAATTGCATTTGCTGCTCGGTATTATTCCTTCTTCATTTATATTTGCCCAGAGACAGCATGAGTGGTTTGTTGTTGTTGTTGTTTTTAGAAAACAAAATGCAAAGATTATTAAATAGATCCATTTATCCTCCTTTTTCTCCCAAACAAGATTGAGAACTGCTCTGCCCAGCTACAGCCCTGACCCCCCTGTCTCTAAAGGATGCTGTCTGAACTCTACTTTCTGAGCATGTGCAACCAGAGCTCTCTTGTGTTTCAGATCACAAAGTTTGCTTCCTTGTCCCATATGGATGCACTCTGAATCCAGAGATGTGTGGATCGGAGCCCTGCTCTGCTGAGCTCACCCTGAGCCCTGGCTGCTTGCAGCTGCTGAGAGGCAGCATGGTTTGTTTTGGTGGCCAGGTTTCCGCAGCCCCCAGCTACTTGGGATAGTTCCCTGTCCTAACTCACAGGAATACAACACTGCAGAAATCACAGCATAGTAAAATCCTATACTTAGCCCACGTTCCAGCTTAGGGTCAGTGCTGGGTTCCCGCTGGCACCCATTCAAACCTCAGCCTAAGCTGTCTTGCTTTCACTGCTATTTAATTCAGATTGGGCAAATAGAGTTAAGAGCACATCCCTTTTCTTCCTGCTGGGAGATGCTGTGCACGCTGAGCCCCAAGCAGAGCCCATGTCAGAGAGTGACACGTGTCAGCAGCAGGTGACACAGCCGTACATGGGCTGACAGCAGGGACAGCCGCAGGGCAGGGTTTGGGCAGCTCCAGCACAGCAGAAGGGGAGGGCATTTAGCGAGCAGAGGAAACAGCACAGGGGGAGCACGTGAAGGGCCCACGCCGTGCTTTTGGGTTAAGGCCACTGTCCCATGACCTAAGAAAGATCCCTGCCATGAGCTTAAGTAGTTCTGCACTGTGCTGGTGCTGCGCCTCGAGCTCCAGCAGGGTGCTGGAAAAGAGAACAATAGGGCTGCTCTGACAGCAAAACCATCACAGGGGCTCTCGGGCACTTCTGCATTATCAGGGTGTTGCAGTTAATTGTCGTTCGAAGCAGAGCGTGAATGATTGCAAAGATTTTTCCTGATTAAAAAAGTTCTCCGTGGTGGGGATTGAACGGAGCTCTGAGAACACTCTCCCAGCAACAGCTTTATTTAAAGCCCATGCCTGGCTCCTGGCAGCAATACTTTCAGCTTTACATCAAACCATCAGTCCATTTCACCTTTGCCAGCTAGGAGAACCTAATAAAAAACTCTAATTACTGCGACGCTCCTTACAGCTATTAGCGGTCTCTTAGTTTCCCCTCCGTGAAGCTGAATGATCCAAAAAGACTCAGACACAGTCAGTGCTATGAGTGCCAAGTGCTGATCCCAAAACACAAGCTCTGATCCCTAAACCCAGGACCTGGTAGCCAAGAGGCCACCAAGTAACCATAAAGCATGGGGACACAGTGACTCTTCTCTCTGCAGGACCCAGGCAAGTGAGCACAGCATCCAGATGCCCTCCAGCAGGTGCTGCCAGCTGCTCCTGCAGGAATCCCCCAGGAGGCAGCCTCCTCCTCAATGACCTGTGGCTGGGGAGGTGGGTTCCCTGTTCAAGTCTTTTCTCACTCTGATGGTACTCATGGAAGATGAAAAGTAAATGCTTCTCCTTTTTTTTTGACATTATGCACAAACGGGTGAAATCTCAGCCACAGTTTTGAAAGCTGCACCTGACCTCAAGGACCTTTCCTATGAGACTCCTGACTCCTGAGATCTAATTCTATTTCCCTTAGTCCCCCTCTGCCCAATTGCCCAGTGCCAGTGGGACGGCCTCTCACCCAAATAAAGCAACACATCACTTCCCAAGGAATGCAGGAAGGGCTCCAACTCCCCAAAATTGGAGCTGGGTCCAGAGATCTCAGCCTCAGCCCAACTCCAGAACAGAAAACACACGACACAGCACTCAGTGAGGGACCTGCTGCTGTTGAGACCCATTGGATGGGCTGGAACACACTCCTCCAGAGGGGCCTTTGGGGACAGCCACCACCCACACAACCTCTGACTGCCATGGGGTGCTCATGGCAAAGCAGATAAGGGGACTCACAGCAGTCCCCAGTGGCATCCAAGCAGGGGGAGGAACCACAATTCTGCACTCAGAACCCGCATAAATCTCAACCAAGCGCTCAGAATCTGCTTTAGATAACAACGCTGTGTGAAGCATATTCCCCAATCCTTTAACCCTTTCACAGCTCCGTCGCTCTCTCCAGTTCCTAACTGTCCCACCTGAGCCACAGACACCGAAGCTGTTTGCGAAGAGCTCTCCAATCATCATCACACACATCTGGCACAGAAACACCCCTGGTTCTGGCTCTGTGGCAGCTCTACCCAGAACAGGGAAACTCCATCCACAAAGCTTCCACCACCAGGACTTCCCACACTGAGAGCAACATGTAAAGGAACAAAGCCTTCACCAGATCCATACACAGAGAAAGGAGCACTCACCCACTTGTTCCAGGTCTCTGGGTCTGAGAGAAGCGCCAGTCCGGGTTAGGCTGAGCTTGCTGCAGAGGAAATAGAAAAAGAGTTTTAATACCTCCATTCTCACCTGCAAACCAATCCTGGATTATTTCAGCCTGGGATATCGGTGTATTCTTTCCAAGTGAAGCAGATCTATTAGAACAATAGGAAAAAAAAAAAGCTCCCCCACCCCCACTCCTTCCCTTTCTTCTGAGTATTTCTGGACCAGCATGAATACCAAAAAGCGTGACAAAAACCATTCAGTGAATAATCTTCCAAAGCAGCTCAGGAAACCAGGCTGTGAAAGAAATGAAGCATGAAATAAACTGATAAGGGCATTGCTCCAGCAGGAGAGATGGCACTAAAGGAATGAGCTGGGGGGGGTGGGGGTGGTACTGTTAATTGATGCTTCCAGTGGGAGGTAAGGTGGTGACAGAGCTTCCTAACCTGTCCTTCTGTCCTTAGCAAGGCCTGCCTGAGCCTGCGTGTCACACTTGGTGTTTGAATGACTTTCCTAGACGCTGTGGTCACAGTGCATTACAATGTTTTTCTGTTTGCAGAAGAAAGAATGAACGTCCGACGGCGGAGAGGAAAGAAAGAAAAGCATTCTTTGTTCAGGAAGCACAGCAAACTTCAGACCCAGCAGCAGGCTTAGCAGACCTCGTGTTGCTTTCTGCCCCTGCCGTTTCCCTGTCAGACAACGGGCATTCTGTAGCTGAGGATGGATGCAGAGCAGGCTGTGTGCATCGCGCCTTTGTGCACAGCACACACAGCCGAGCTGTCTGCAAGGCGCACAACTTCCGAACGTCACAAGCTCTTAATTAACTCTGAAATGATGACAGGCTACCTGGGAAGGACGACGTTTCTCCTGGTTACCTCAGGAAGGAGCAGCTCCTGGTCTGCACCACGGAACACCAGCTTTATAGGATTATTCTGCTTGTACTTGCAATTACTAAGGCGAAGGGAAACGGGTACAGCTGACCTAGATTTTTATTTAGCAGCTGTGATTTGACTAATTTCGCCACAGCTTTGATGATTCTCATGAAGGAATACATTAGAATAAATTACTGAGTCCCCTTAGAATAAGAGCTCCACTCCACTCCTGCTGCATACAAATCGCACCACTTGCACACTCACCCTCCAGACTGCAGATCCACGTAGCTTTGCACACACACTGCCACACACGACTGCCCATCAGATAAGCCCATCCCAGTCTATTTTTTTCCAATCCCTATTGCAATTACCACTTTCAAATTTAGGGCAGGCGTTTATGACACAAAGTGACTTTACTTTTTATATCCCAAAGTTAAAAAAGCTGCAGTTAAATGCAGCCACTTCCATCTGGGTTTGGATATCCCAAGGCAACTGGCTGAAGTTTTCACAGCACGCCCGCCACTCAGGTCTCTGTGAGCCCAAGGGCACGTAAGGTTAGCAAGATCTTTGCAGAAACGCACTACTTTCAGAGCTGAACAGAGAATTCAGCCTCTTACTCAGAACTACCAAGCTAGAAAGCAGTCCTTTGCCATGGCACAATCAGAAATGAATAATACCTGAGAGACAAAGAGTGAGAAAAATCCCAACACGTTCCTAAAACAGAGCAAAAGGAGCACCCAGGTGACCTGGCTTTGAGGTCTTCTCCTCCTCTCTTTCCATACAGCATAAAGGGGTTAAACAAGAAGTTTAACACCCCAAGCCCCGTGTTCCCACTGCAAGAATCACTTCAGAAAGCCCGTACGGGGCCAAGAGGAAGCTCCCAGCTCCACAAACACGCACGCTTTTGTTGTATGCTGATGGCCATCCCATTCCCCACCTCCACCCGGCACAGCCAACCCCCTTCCCTGCCACCTCCTGAGGGAGATCATCACCAACATCCCGCACAGCCACCTCACGCAGCAGCAGTGAGAACCCCCATCTCTTACCCCATCGCAGGGACTCGCTACAGTGCTGGCCACCTGCTCGTAGGCAGCCACGGTCTCTGCAGTGCTGGAGTGGCTGAAGGGTTTTACAAAGAGGAAATCACTCTGCTCAGACATTGGGGAGAAACAGGAGGTGTAATTCTGTGCCTGGGAGCCCAGCCCCGCTCTGCCCACATCCAGGTATTTGATGAAGCCATCTGGCCTCAGCTGCCCATGGAGATGGGAGGTGGGCTTGCGGGCAGACCCCCGGCAGCAGCCCACGAGAGCCCAGCCAGCAGAGCCCACTCTGAGACAGCGGGCAACCGCCACGGCAAACACCACACACGACACGAGGGAAATGGACACCAAAGAGATGATGAGGTACAGCGTTAAGTTGTTGTCCTTGGGAGATGATTGAGGCAAGTCGGAGGACTTGGCAAAGTCCTGCACGCCATCTTCCTCTGGAGAAATGACAATCACCACCGAGGCCGAGAGGGACGGCGTCCCGTTGTCGTGCACCAGGACCACCAGGCGGTGGGGAGACGGCGACTCGCCCAGAGCCGCTGCAACACGCACCTCCCCGGTGCGATGTTCCACCTGGAAGGGCAGAGCCTCGGCCGTATCCTCCAGCTGATAGGACAGCCAGGCATTATGGCCGCTATCGGCATCCACAGCCACGATTTTGGTGACTAGGTAGCCAGGTTCTACCAAGGGTGGGATGGTTTGGTGGAAGGCAGAACCCGTAGGGACGGACGGGTAGACGATGGTGGGGGCATTGTCGTTCTGATCCATGACAAAGACGTGGACAACTGCAGTGCTGCTCAGGGCAGGAGAGCCAGAGTCCTTCACCTCCACGGGCACCTGGAACACCTTGTCCTGCTCATAGTCCAGAGCCCTCACAGTGTAGATGGTGCCGTTGTCTGGGTCTACGCGGAAGTAAGTTGAGATGGGTATGTCCTGCATCCCATTGTCCAGGATGGAGTAAGTCAGCTTGGCGTTACTGCCCTCATCGGGATCGGATGCAGACACTGAAAAGACAGAAGTTCCAGGGAGAGAGTTTTCCAGCACGTGAGCTGTATCAAAAGGGGTGGAGAAGTTCGGGGCGTTATCATTGACGTCGGCGATTTGGAGATAGAAAGTTTTTTGTGTGGCCCTTGGTGGTGATCCCGAATCCGTAGCCCTCACAGTGATGTTGTACCCACTGGCCTTCTCCCGATCGAGGGGACCGTTTGTGACCAGTGAGAAGTGCTCTTTGAAAGATGACACCAGCTTAAATGGGAGCTCTTTGGCTATCTGCAGATGGACGTGCCCGTTGTCCCCAGAATCGCTGTCCTTTACACCGATGAGAGCAATCACCGTTCCTGGGGTCGCATCCTCCAGCACAGGGCTGGAGAGAGAAGTCAGCACGATCTCAGGGCTGTTATCATTGATATCAATTAATTCCACCCGCAGATGACAGTGTCCTTCCATGGCTGGGGATCCTTTGTCCCGGGCTCGGACTGCAATTTCATAAGCACTGGATTCCTCGTAATCCAAAGGGGCTTTGGTTCTGATCTCCCCCGTCCGGGAATCTAAACTGAACAGCTTAGTGAATTTACCAGGTGCATTATTGCTAGTTTTGAAAGAATACTCCACGTCCCCATTGGGGCCTTCATCCAGGTCGGTGACGTTCAGCTTGGTGACCAGAGTGCCCACTGGCACGTTCTCCTCCAGATTCACCTTGGATACAGGTGGGTCACAAACAGGAGGGTTGTCGTTTGCATCCAGGACATGGATGGTGACCTTGGCAGTGCCAGATTTCACTGGATTCCCTCCGTCCAGTGCTGTTAGGATTAGGTGATGAACAGCCAATTTCTCTCTATCCAGCGCTTTTTTGAGAACGATCTCAGGCATTTTGACCCCATCTCCTCTCACGTTGATGCTCAGGCCAAAATGCTCATTGGGGCTGAGCTCATAGGTGGAGATGGAGTTGGAGCCCATATCTGGGTCTTCTGCCACCTCCAACGGCAGCCGAGTCCCAGGGTTGGCCACCTCTGTGATCTCCAAGATCACCTCCGGCTTGGGGAACTGCGGCGCGTTGTCGTTCACGTCGAGGACGTCCACCTCGACACGGTGGAGTTGGAGGGGGTTCTCCATGACGAGCTGGAGGTGCAGAGAGCAGGCGGGGCTCTGCCCGCACAATGCCTCGCGGTCCAGCCTCCTGTCGAGGAGCAGCACACCTGCTGCCAGGTCCACCTGGAAATGCCGCTGCTCAGACTCGCTCACCAGGCGCAGGTTGCGGGCTGCCAGGCTCCGCACCTCCACTCCCAAATCCTTGGCCACGTCGCCCACCGGAGTGCCCGGCTCCCGGTCCTCGGGTATGGAGTAACGGAGCTGCGCGCTGCCGGGCGACTGCAGGCTGGAAAGGGCTGCGAGTAGCAGCGGGAGCTGCCACGGTGAAGCCCGGCCCTTCAGCATGCCGAGCCGGCTGTGCGAGCGGAGAGAAAGCGGCTCCCAGCGGCTCCCCCCGCCGCCCGCCCCGGAGCCGCCGCCGCCGCCGTACCGAGAGCCCCGAGCCCCGAGCCCCGATCCGAGCGCGCCGCGTCGGGACGAAGCTGCCGCAGGAGCCACGGGAACGGGACTGGGGGGGAAGAACGAAGGAAGGAAGGGAGGGAGGGAAGGGACGGGGGGGGGGGGGAGGGCAGCTCTGCCGAGCGGCTCCCCGGCACACCGAAAGCGCACAAAGTCAGCGAGCGAAGGGGATGGACCGAGTGACAATTCTACGTCTCTCAACAGCCCCCTCCTCCTCCTCCTCCTCCTCTTCCCTCCTCTCTGCCTCCTCCACCGCCTTCCTCAAAATACGCACGGCGCAGCCCCCCCCCCCCCCTCCCGCAGCCGCCACTCCGCCTCCGCAGCGCCGGGCGGGCGCCGGGGATCCCCGACACCGGGAACCGGGGACTCCCGGCAGCGGCGGGCGGGCTCCGGCCGGCACCCCCTCCCCTAAGGCGGCCGGGGACCGGGATCTCCCGCTCCCGAGCTCACCTCGCTGGGCGCCGACGGTTTCACACCGGCTGTGCCCACGGAGGGTTTCACAAACATGAATTCGCTGATGTCAGAGACGGGTGAAAAGCAGGAGCGGTAGCGCGGGGCTGGGGGAGCCGTGGCCGTCA